CAGCGGTAAACTGTTTGGAAGAAGTGTGACAGTTGTGCGTCACCCACATGCTCACAGTTATTGCATTTGATTATTGATCAGATCACAGCATCTGCTGACCAAGGCTGCACACAAACCGAACTTAGGGAAAAATCATTACGTTTTTTATTGTTCTTGTTTTAATTCTAGCTTTACAGTCTAGTGGATGAAGAGATTATTGCAGAAATTGGCACCGCTCCCTGATCAAATGATGAACGATATTCACTACGATAATTCAGGGAATGGGAGGTTGGATACGTCTAGTTCTCAACTCTTTGACAAAGACAGAGTTCGAGGAGCCTTGAATCCTAGTTTCAGTTTTATAATGAGAATGCTTTATGGTTTGAGCTGACAATGACCATCATCATCGCATCACACTGGTTTAACTGGCTGTTACATACAAGACGTCTCTACCCTAACACCTCTGAAGTTCATTATCTGCTGTTTTTTGGAGGTATCCTGCACTTCAACTTGATATTGATTCCAATCTTATATGATGTCACTAAAAGGATTCCACACAATATACGTGTAACCCCCGAGTGACACAGCACGAGGCCTGAGAAATTAAACTTGTTGTTGCTGTCATTAAGGATTGTCTAACAGCATTTGTTCTTCTTAATCAAATAAGTGTCTGTGCTTCGATCTAGTGTCCCTCCTTCAGAGTGTGAGGTGGACGGACATCCCCAGTGGTTACGGATCCAGGGACTCCATCCTTCAGACCTGGAGCGAAGAAGGATTGGAAAAGACGAAGGCGTGGGCAACTAAGGCGGATTGACAGGTAAGCTCAGCCATTATGAAGGTGCTCATTTATGCTGCAATGCATGACTGAGCACTTGTGCAGTCGAAGTGGTCCAAGTGTTGGTGGACGGTGTTTCAACTGCTGTTACACATTAACTCAGTGTCAGCAGTGTGGGGAAGCCATTTAATGCCTCATCGTGCAGCTAATAGCCTGCCGTCTCGTGCTGGGTTTGCTGGTCAGACCTGGAGTTGTGGTCGGTATGAAAACGTTGTATTCATGTGGTTGCTGATGTTTCCAGCTGCAGCAGCTGGGATCCAATCCAAGCCAGCCCCGCTGAGTCTGGGAAAGGGAAAACAGCAGCCTTCATTGTCGGACTTGGAGGAGGTTCAACATGCGCCTGCTCCACCCTTACGCGTCTGACATCCTCACGGGGGTGCTTCTCTACTTGGTGCTGGGACCGTGGTGTTCCGTGCTTTAGAGACCTTCCACGACAGGAGGGAAAGCACAATCATCTGCAGGACCACGCGCCGGGTACTTCTTGGTTGAACTTCACGTGCATGGGACCAGAAGACCTCCAGAACCCTCATAGAGGTTAACAGTACAGCCCATGAAACCATGTCCCAGTTAAATCATAACATCAATGTGTTCGAACATTCATTCGTTGTTCGAAGTCTGTAAATTGGGCATATTTAGTGACACACCACAAAACTGGGTTGTTCCAAAATTGTGCGCATAAAGCCTTTGTTGGGCATGTGACACCCTTTAAATTATACAATACTTGTTGGCTCAACAGAGTTGATGCTGTGAGCCTCTCCGGTCACACAGGGTTCAAATAGGGACGGAAAGAGCAGGGTTGGTTGACTCACAGGTGTTTATTAACTCCAAACAAAATATACACGGGTCTCAAACGTTGCCCGTGTGGGGAACCTCTCACAGGGTCCTTTGGTGCGCCTTCTCCAGGATCCCGCCTACTGCAAAACAGCCCAGAAACCAGGTTACGACATGCTTTTATTCCGGCACTGATTACCTGATTCCGATCAGCTGTCTGGCCTCCGGCCGAGCCACTCCCTTCACTCCAGCAGCCGGCGCCCTGACCACACCCCGCTGCCACAATGGCCTTGACAACATTTTATTTTCTTGTAATTTATAGCAATTTAACCCAAAAAGTTAAAAGAAATTCTGTGTCTTGTGAACTTGTCTTGTAACCTTTGGGGGTCTTGACCCCGAGGTGCAGAAAACCGGGCTTATTTACAGAGTTCACCAAGAAAGACCCCATTTGCCCTCTGTGCCTGAGCTGCCCCCCTAGCAGGAGAAACAAGTTGTATCTATGCTGTTGTGGTTTCGGAAATACGAGTAGCCCATACCTGCTAAAGTTAGACCGCTATATCATCCAGACTTTCATTACTCAATGACAGACTTCATAGCGACTCAAATCAAGAGGCAAAGTGATGCCCTCAGTTTAGCACTTTACAGAGCAATTACAAAAGAAAATCCGGGGGGAAATGCTTATGTTGCACTTCTTTATTTGAAGAGAAACAGGCCCTTAAAATGTCTATTAACTGATATTTGCTGGGTCCAGGCTCAAGGGCGTATGGCACTCTCAACTTTTTCCAGGACATGCCAGGGCCCTGCCTGCCTGTAGCTTTGCCGATATCTGTGTTGATAGGTAATAGGTTACGAGCAGTGAATCATCTTAGATACAGGAAGCGCTCAAACGTTTGTGTGAGTTTATCAAATTTAGCAGTGATTCCTTCTCAGCCACAGCTTGTTACAAAAAAGCTGACTGATAGTGTGTTTAACGAACTGAAACTAGCTTTATTAAATGTCAGGTCTTTGGCAGGAAAAACATTTTTAATCAATGATTTTATCACTGAGCACAATCTTGATTTTATGTTTTTAACAGAAACGTGGATTGAACAAAATAACAATGCAGCTGTTCTTATCGAATCAACCCCTGCCAACTTTAGTTTTATAAGTCAGGAAAGAATGCATAAGAAAGGGGGTGGAGTTGCTCTTTTGTTCAATGATTCCCTTCAATGCAGGAAGACATCTTATGGGAACTTTGCTTCTTTTGAATATGTGGCCCTTCAGCTGAAATGCTCCTCTCGAGTTCTGTTCCTAAATACAGTGGGGCAAAAAAGTATTTAGTCAGCCACCAATTGTGCAAGTTCTCCCACTTAAAAAGATGAGAGAGGCCTGTAATTCATCTAAGGTTACACCATCAACTATGAGAGACAGAAGAGAAAAAAAATCCAGAACATCACATTGTCTGATTTTTAAGAATTTATCTCTGCAAATATGGTGGAAATAAGTAATATTGAGTAACACCTACAAAAAACAAGATTCTGCTCTCACAGACCTGTAACTTCTTAATTTAAGAGCCTCCT